AAAATTGGTGCGCTATTTTGTTCGAAAAGTGGGGGAGAAGTGCGAAAAGGAATGATGGTGGAGAAAAGGCAAAAAGCACCATGAAAAAGATTGAACTTTTCCTTGTGAACTCAGTACAACGAAGGAACACAGCGCTGCGAGGAGAGGGAAATCATGAGGTAGCACTAGCACGCGGGAAGTCGCAAACGTCATGTGTGCAGCTTTCGAGAAAAGTGGCAGTGGTCGCAGCGGTCGAATGAGGGCAACAACTTGTCACTCACTGTTGTAGTAAGTGCCTCTTCCCTGATGAGTTCTGCTCCCAATACAAGGAATGAATTTTTCTGAGGATGTAATCACGCCCCCTTTTTTCAATCTCGTTTAAAGGCAAGATTCGGGATAAAATAGGTGTCTAAAAGCGTTCAGTCATGATACTAGAGGTGGGAGGTGGTCTATAAAAGAGAAGGAAAGCAAACGAAATCACAGATTACGCCCCGTACAGAAACCTCCCCTATTTCAGCAACATTCCACCTTGGGATAGAGAAAAGGCGCGTTGGACGAGTTTCGCGAGCCTGACTCTAGTTGCTCCAGTGCCATTGACACAGGATCGCGGTGGGACCGCTGCCTCAAATGCGCCCGCGCTTTTCAAGCAGCGCCACGTGGCAACGGACAGCGGAGGGTGGGGCTTGCGGACAAAGGTGTGAGTTGCAGATCGGACGAGCTGCTTGTGCCTTTGTCGCGCACTTTCAAGCGGCAAAAGGGGTGCGACAACAACACTTGTCCGCCTGCCTACTTACTCCTCGGCTTGAAGAACACGGCACTAATGTGAATGCACGTGAATTTAACTGCAAAGGAGCCCTCTCGCTGCTGAAAAATCGGAATTCAGCCGAAGGTAGAAACAATCGTTCACGGAAGTCATTATCATTCACTGCGATAGCTACAGCAATAGCATTGTGAGCATGTTTTGTAATTTTAGAACACCACGTAGGCATGGAGCTTCACAGCAAACCTGGAAAGCCAAATTTTTACGCAATATAGTCACCTACGCTCACGCTCAGAGCATGTGCCACCGAAAGCTAAACTAATAGGAAAAGTGCATTAAAGAAATCCTTAATGGAAAAATCGTGATTCCCTCTCAACCTTAAATCACTGCCTTGAGACTCATAATCCACGATAGAATGAAAAGAGCAGAAAAATTGCATTTGTTCGGTAAAAAATTCGAAAAACGAAAGGCTGCTACGCGTTCAAAGTACCGCCGCACATCTGTCACAAATGCTGGCGACGGGAATGCTTCCACTTTCTTGGAGTGCCTTCACTAGAAACTCTTTCTGGCCTTTTGACTTATTGCATTCACATCTCACACTTCTACTCCATCCTATTCTATCGATCGATTTGTCTCTACTCTCCGAAATCGCGCGCTTTAACCGAATTCTTTCATTGCGTCGCCTGATACATAGCCGCCCCAAGGCGGACTTCTTTCCATGCCCGCCTTTGGCTCCGCGCCTTTTACCTTCGATGTCCATAGAGTGTATGTTTTTGTAAGTTTGTTTCTCTTCGGAAACGGAATCTTTAGGGCGTGAAACTTTGTGTGCTGTTTCCAGTGATCACACCTGATATATACAAAAAAAAGATCATTACTTTGTCTGAGAAAAAAAAAATGCAACAATTTTCCGCGAAAGATTCCTTGAAGAGCAGAAGCGAGCTCTTGTTCATTGTTCACTCCGTCAGCAAAGTGTGAAATCATCTGTCATCACTGACGAGCTCAAGGAAGATTAATTACGTTGGAGCTATTTCACTGTGTAATAAATGCTGTCTGTTGCGTCTTATTTTCTGATCCGACGGCGTGGAGGTCCGAGGTGGAGTAGTTTTAATGACGTCATTCGCGTCATTGATGGAAGGAGCCTTGAGACAGCCCCAACCGCATCCTCCAGCGCGTCGAGGGGTATGGTCCATCAGTGACGTCCAATGACGTCATCAATCAGCTCCACCCTCTGCCGACCGCCTGCACTGCCTTTAAGTCAATCATTTGCAGGCATTGCTTTCCTTTGGAACGAAATCGTCTAGTAATATTATATGATCGATCGGAAAACATTTTATTTCTAGTGCTAGCTGTTTGGAATTGACGAAGCTATCATTCTATTCTATATATGAATCAATGAAGATTTTCGTCATTCCACGTGAAGGACATCGACGACTTTTTCTTTACTTGTCATTTGGTGCTAATTTCCTTGATCAACTATCTTTTGGTGAAGAAAAAAGTAAGGCGGAAATGGAGTTGCTCGAAATTCTTTTTGTAAGTGATGTGTATTACTTTTAAGGCCTGATCGGCACCTATACTCTTCTGTCGCCATTCAACTGGACCAAAGACGAGTACGCTAATTACAAATCTTTGAGGCCCATTGTTCGTGAGTTTAGGCCTACGCGCTTCCCACACGTTCTGGAAATTCAAAAGTAGTTTTTCTAACATTGAAATACCATTTTAGCGAGATAACGCTAAACTATCCTGCATGTCCCATATCCCATGGTCTGCAGATTGATAAAGTGTGTTTCAGAAATTGTCGGCATGTTTTTTGGAATATTCGCCCTGAAAAGGTGGTTGAAACTTCGTGACACTTTTATAATCTGCTTAGCAATTGGAACTCTGGCCATCTCACTCTTTATGATTGGACTAGCGCAGGTTTGTTTCCCCTTTCTGTGTCCTTTCAAAGTACTCATTTCATCACCAACGTCGCCGAGTTCATACTTTATCGCTTGCCGCGTTCGCGCTAACTGACTCGTGCGATAAAACCTTAATCAAGCGAGTGCTTTTCCTGCCATGTCTGTCTGCAGTGGTTACTCTAGCTCAGTGACCGATCAGTAGCAGAGACTGAGCCAAACACAGCGCTGATCTTCTCTAGTGTCCTCCTTGCAACAGCGTCTATTTGAGGATCATAAAGCATAATCGTTCGTTATTGTCATTGATCTATTTCGACTTCTACTTAGTTATCCCGATGCGGGTTTGACCTTCCAAACGTCCTGGCTAACGGTCTAGATGCACTCTTTGACATACCAACATATTTCGCAATGACACTAATTCGACTTGAAGAAATTTGAATTTAGATCAAAAATTGGACAGGAATTATGGGACAACCCAATAGCTGCATCAGTATTATTAAGTAGTTTTAACCCATCACGAAGTGCCTTACCTCGCTCCGCTGCCCTGCTGAATGTTTATGTTGTCAGGTGTAAGAGCTGTCCCAACTCAGAAGCTGATCACTTCGACAACTTTTGACTTGGAACTGCATCGGGGGAGTCCATAGTAGTTGAGGTTGAGGGGAAGAACGAGCACAGCTACATTGCTTTCAATGAAAACAAAAGTGTGGACCTTTGAAAACATCGGAAATCCGACTGGAATAATTTTCAACAACTCTTACTTCTTCTTATTTCTAATTTATTCCAA